AAATATTCAGCTACACGAGTATTAATGATTACTTTATATATTATTCTTTATTAATCATTAACCATAAAACAGTTAATTCAAAAAAAATTTTCTATCTAACTAATTTTAATTGGTCAATATAATGTGATACACAATATCTCCTAAAATTTGCAAAATCTGTTAACTATTTTTCAATTTCTACTTTTAGTATAACATTTGGCAAAATATAAGTTTTCTACTTAAAGCTAAAAATCATCGTTCCTGATCTAATAATACAAATATGTATTAAAAATCATAACATCCTTGTAAAATACCTTATATATTATGTATATAATGTTATTATATAAATACAACAAATATGATTAGCAGATCATAATCTTAAATTGTATTTATTATAATGATAATGATAATAGAGAGCTAATATATATATAAATTTTGTAATACTATTATTGATCACAAAATAAATCAAAAAAATAACATTAGCTAAAATAGATGTAAAATACAGTTTTTTAATATAAACTAATTTAAATTTTTTTATTCTAAATTAATATGTAACTTCTATTAGAAATGCAAAGTGTTTATTTGCTAAAAATCTAATGGCTTACATTCATAAATAGGATATACTACAACAAAACCAGATAAAATAAATATTGGTATTATCAAAAATTTCAGGGATCAATAATGTTTATTTAACATCATAATTGTATTACATTCATAATATTTATATAGATAAAAATTAGTTAATATGAAATTAAATTTACATTAGATCTACCATAGAATCCAAGAATTACAATACTATTAGAAGTATTCTAAAAAAGAAATAAAATGAAAAAATTGCTTCTTATATTTTCAAAATAAATGATATTTGGAAACTGAAAGCTTATTTAAGAAAAAAAAAGATTACTTATGAAATTTACCAAGAGGAAAAAAAAATAATAAATATTAGAAAAAGAAAGCAGAATGAAAGTATACTATTACTTAACAAAAAGAAGAAATCCTTAGAAGGAAAATAACTATTATTTTCTTTGATAGTTGGAATGAATTTCAATTTATACTTTCTCATTTTTAATTAAGATCATCTTTTAGTCTTCTTAACTTTAATTTAAGTAATTTGACTATTCTGTTGGATTAATTGAATTTTTAAACCATTGATTTCCTTTTCTCTAGCACTTAATTTATCAACTAGTTCTTTAGGGATTAATTTTTTTAATCTTTCTAGTTCAGTCTTCAATTCTTACTTTTACCTCTTATCTCATTTACTCAAACTTTTCTTGAAATTTAATTATTTCTTCCCTTTCAATTTCTAAGATTTCTTCAATCTTATTTAATTATTCTTATAAGGAGTTTATTTATAAAAAGTAAACTGACTTATTTCTTTATGAAATAAGAAAGAAAGGTTCTTCTCTTCTAAATCTTCATTGTTTCTAATATACTAGCAAATATTTTTACCATTAACAATATCAAAATCTAACTTAGTTTGCAATTTATCACATCTATTACATTTGACAATTCATCATTCCAATATTTTTCTTCACATCTTTCACAAATTATATCATCTAAAATTCATTTCTTAGTTACTTTATACATGCTTTTATTTAATAAACAGATTTGTTATTTCTATTCTCAAGTTTAGAACAAAAATTACAAGTTTTTTTACTTTTTTTTCTAATTCTAAAACTGTGTATTCCAGTTTTCTCATTGTAATTTACTTGTTATTTAGATTTAACTTCTAATTGAACAATCATTTTTTAGTTATAAAGCTTTTCTTTTTGATTAGCCTTTGTAATTTTTAAAACTTAATTTTTGCTTCTGTTTTTAATTAATTAAATATGCTCTGTTTAGGTAAGGCAGATAAGAGTTTATTATCTAAGTAGAGTAATTTCCTTAGATTTTCATTTTGTGTTTTACTATCAGTTAATTGCTTACTTAATTTTTCTATTTTTTTGTTCATTTGATATTTGATTTGATTCTTCCTCTAATTTTTCAACTTGAGCTTCTAGATGAGAAACTTTGCAATAGCACTTTTAAGTTTTTCATTTTTCATTTTTATATCTTCTGCTTAATTTTTGCTTCATTTTTCACTACTTTTTTAACTTGTTCCTATTCTATTTTTACCCTTTTTTCTAATTTCTCTATTCTTTCATCTTATTTTTCTAACTCAATCTTTAACTCTTTAATCTTTTCTTCATATTCTTGATTTTGTTTAATCACTATATCAAAATTTTCTTAGTTTTAAAAGTTAATTCATTCAACTATTGATTAACTCATCAAGAAAAAGATTTCTAAAGTCATAATAATTATAATAACTTAGTTTGATTAAATTTCATTCTTTATATCCTTTTTTCAATATTTTTTTTAGAGTTGAATTATCTTTTATTTTGCTTTCTTTTAATAATTTTTGAAATAGTTCTTTATTTTTTCAGAATATAATTTGATAAGATTAATAAAGATATCTTTTTTAGTCTTATTCTTTACTTGTCAATGAACATTTTATTACTTATAATACTTGTAATAAGAATAATATTGATAAGTATTGAAAACTAAATTCCTACAAGTTAGTTTAGTAGAATATAATTTACAAAAATTAGATCACTTTTCTTGGTCACAATAAACTTTCATAATTTTATCAATCACATCTACATTAGGATTATCAGTATAATAACTTTTATTTAAAATAGTAGCTATTCATACTCTAATTTCTTCATTATTTAACTGTTTAAATTATAAAGATGCTTTTAATTTTTTTATTTTTTCTAATAGTTATTTATTTCTCTTTTAGAATTCATTTATTATATTTATCATATTTATGTTTTTTATTTGCTTTTAAATTAAGTATATAAATTATTTTAATACTTTTTTATTTTAAAAGTGAAAAAAACTAAACTTATTTAAACTTAATGATAACAAAAAACTCAATTAATTGTATTAATATTTATTTTTATTATAATATACTAAACATACTAATTTTTTATTAATATAAAACTAATTATTTTTTTAATTTTTATTTTAATTTTTAAAAAAATAATGATTATTATGCTAACTTTCATATAGTATATTACAATATAATAATTGAAAATTATTGTCTTATATTAATACAAATTATAAAATCAATAGAGCAAATACTAAATGAATTTTTTGTAAATATTAAAGTATATGAATACTTCTAATATAATAATTAAACTTTCAATACTAATAAAAAAAAGTTAAATTTTGTAAAAGAAGAAATGAATTATAATTATAATTGTTTATTAGTTGAAAGAATTATAAATTTATAATAAAATCTTTATATATAAAAAAATTACCAAAATACCAATTGAATTAATTAATTTATTATTCTTTTAATTTAAGTTTAAGTAATTACATTTTACAAATCTGTTATTAATATAAAGTTAATAATGATCCTTCTATTAATAAGGCATTTAACTACAAGTTTATATTTCCTTTTTTCTGTAAAATTAATATTAAAACAAATAATATATTTCTATTATGAGATCATTTAATTTATAAAAAAATGGAGATAAAAAAAGAAAAATATAATAAACCAACTCTCTAACTAATTAAATATATAGATTAAATAATATAAATATTTATAGTTTAATTATAATATATAATAAATAAATAATATATTCAATCAAGAAATTGCTAATAAAATTTTATAAAACTTTTCCAGTATTATTATAAAAAAATTTTATTCTTATATAATCTTAGAAAATTTCATATTACATCACACTTTTTATTTTTTCATTCTTTCATATAATTAATTTTAGTCAAGTTTTATAATATTGGATAAAAATTAGTTAAAATAAAATTTTTTTATGATGATATTAAGGTAATTATATTACAATAAAAATCATATGATATTTAAAGTTATTATTACTTCTATCAAAAAGCTTAGATTATATGGGAGCTTTGCAATAGAAAGGGAGGAAACTCTAAAAAAATTAAAATTTTACTTTCTAAGCTAATTATGATTTTTTTTGTAAAATAAGTCCAGATTTAATATTAACTCAAAAAAAAAATTTTTTTAGAGTTTCCTTCCTTTCTATTGCAAAGCTTCCATATAATTTATAAATAATCTGTTATATTATATCATCCCTATTATATTTCAATTTTTATTACAGTCAATTCTTTCTACTATCATATCAAAAATAAAAAGTATGACTATAGTGAAAAATAACTATATAGAAGGGTTTTTTTTTATAGTATTACTAAGTATTGGTTCTAAAAAGATGTGATTTTAAAAATATTGTGATTATAAAAGAGGTTTTTTATATAATGTTAATAGATAGGAACTGGCTTTTATAAAAGATATGCTTATAATGAAGGATTTATATAATGTAATTGTATAAGGGATAATTATAGAAAAGGTTGATTATATTTAATTTGAAAATACATTTTTTTAAAAATCTTATTTGTTACTAATTATTTGTCACAGATATTACCCTCATTTATAACGTAATATTAGAGTTATATAAGTTAAGGTTGAATATTAAAACTATTAGCCATAATTTTACATATATAATCACATAACCTAAGCTTTTTTTATTAGTTTTCCTGATCATGAATCTCATATAGTGATAATAAATGATCAGATCATTTGACTATTTTGAAATGATATTAAAATGATCTGGTCACTTAATATCATTTATCATTTGTTATTTACAATATTGACCAACTTTAATCTTAATTTGAAGTTAAAGTTAGCCAGAATTAGAATAAAAAAATTTTAAGATAATAATATTTAAACCAAAATTATAAGATCACATAATATAATTTCTTTAAATGAATAGATCATTTAGTCATTCAACATTTAGTCATTTGAGATCTCATATGATGATATTAACACAGAGGATTAACTTGGTATGGCCTAATCAGCTAAAATTTAACAATTTATAGATTAGAACATATAACGTATGTTATTAAATAAAGTAACAAGGATAAAACATGGTTTTTATTTTATAGGGTGGAAAAATCATTGTCACACGAGATTTAAAAGTTCGATAGTTCAATTTTAATTATCGATGTCTTTACTTTTTAGACAAACGTTCCCATTTTTGCGACTTACAATAGCTCCAAATGTAACAGTATTTAGAAGATTCGGTTCCGAAGTTTCGAATTCCGTTTCTTCTAATACTACGAAAAAAGAATCTGAAGACAAAGCCGTTAAAACAACGCCCGAAATAACAAACATTACAACTGCCGATGTCATTTCAGGAGCGCCAGGTAAAAAACTTGTTTTGATTAAAGAATTTATCAAGTTTTAATTAAGTATTATCTTTTAATTATTGATTGCTTTTAGAGGAACTTCAGTACAGAACAGTTAGAATATATAAACCTACCAGAACGGCAATGCAATCAGGAGAACATAATACTAAACATTGGAGAATAAATTTTGATATTTTGGAGGGAGGGGATAGATGGGAGAATCCTCTGATTGGATGGGCTAGCAGGTGAGAACAATAAACATTTTCTTTTTATTTTATTTTATTTTATTTTATTTTATTTTTATTATTACAGTGGAGATTATATGCAAGCATTACAAATGAAATTCAAGACAAAGGAAGATGCAATTCATTTCGCTGAAAAGCAAGGTAAAATTGACATTTCTTTCATTATAGTTATTTTTTATTTTTATTTTTTAATCAAAATAAGTTCTTTTAGGATGGGACTATTATGTTCAAGAACATAATGAACCAGAATTTCGTAAAAAAATTTACGCAGATAATTATAAATATACACCAGGAAAATTAAGAATTATTAAAACAAAATAAAGAATGATTTATTTATTTATTCAAGCTGTCTAAAGGTTAAACTGATTCTTCCTTCTCTAATTGATTTTTCTTTGGGAATTGAATGTTTCCAATATTGTTGAGTTGTTCCCTTCATAACAACCAAAGAACTATTTTCTAAAAAAATTTTATGCATAATTTTCTTCTCTCTTTTATTTCTAAACATAAAAGTTCTTTTAGCACCTAAACTAACGCAAGCGATAACGCCAAATTTTACTAAACCTTTTTCATTATCACAATGATCACCAATAGAATCTTGTCCATCTTTATACCAATTTAATAAAACAAAATTAAATTGGGTATTTAAAATATCTTCAATTTTTTCTTTGATTTCCTTAATTGAAGGAGGGTATTCAATAGAATCAACACCAGCTGTGGTTCCAGAATATTTATAAACTTTATTAGGATAAGAACCAAAAGAACACGTTTGTCGAGCAGCTTTTGCGGGACGACCAAATATTTTAAACGTAGGTCGCGTCCAATATGGAAGTGAGCTTAGTTCTTGATAATATTTAAAGCATATTTCTGGTGAGAATATTGAGGAATAATATAAAACTTCTGCTTGAGGTATATCAAGTTGAATAAAATTTGGTGAAATAATTTTTGCCTTTTTTTTTGCTTCATTCGTATCGTCTTTTCCCCTTACAGATTGTTCGTTATTTACACGTTTCATTGTTGAGTCAAAATTTTCGCATCAATTCCTATCTTATATACGTGTGATTTCCCCAGCGTAACCACCAAAAATTGCAAAATCATGTGGGGCCTTTGCAATATAAAGGGAAAACTGCCGGCAGTTTTCCCCCATGTGATCAATTTTGCTGATCATTTCCAAAAATAGGTAATAAATTTTTGAACAAAAAAATAAATTTTATTTTTTTGAATAAGATTTAGTAAAAAGTAATACACTATTTAAGGAGAAAATGTTGTTTTCAATACAAATTTTTTTTGTAAAGTAATTTTACCTATATGTTAAAAAATAGCATTTAAAACCTTTCTTTTGTCCCTAAGCAAACTTATAAATTAAGTAAACATTCCTATAAAAAAAAGTTTAATTTACAGCTAATTTCATAATTAATGGATCACTAATAAATTGTGACTAAATGCATCTAAAAATATTTTATAATGAATTACTATAAATATGTGACTAAATATAACTGAAAAATTATTAATGGTCTATAAATTATGAAATTAGCTATAAATAACAAAATTTTGCGAAATTAATTTAATAATTTTTAGATATGATCAGTAAAATTGATCACATGATTAGGAAGTTAATTAGTCATGTGTAAGGTTGCTGGACGAAATTAAGAGTTTAGACAGGCGTCTAAATGGTAAAAGTAAAACTTGGTTAAATTATATTAAAATCTTATTAAAAAATCTGCGAAATTTGAAAAAAGGTAAAACTATATCAAAGCTTATAAAAATGGCGAAATTATATCAAACACTTAGTAAAAATTTAGCAAAACTAAAGGTTTTACCATTTTGCCAAATCCAAAATGAGTTTAGACAAGCAACCTTAGTCATGTGGTTTAATTTTAGAAAATAAATCTCATCTGGCTATAATTATAGAATAAATATTAATTCATATTATATTATATTACCTTTTATCCTTTACTACACAAATATTTATTTTAATTCTCAAATATCTAATGAAAATATCTAATAAAAATTTGAATATAATAATTAATTTTCTTTATAATGATTTTAATCAGATTAATTTTAAATCAAATTAAATAATCAGTAAAAAATTGATTTATATATTAACTTTTCTATATAAAAAAATTGGATTTACCAATTTATATACAATTTTTAAAATTCAAAATAATTTTTGATTAATTATTTTAATTTTAATAATAATTTTATTACTTTTTCTTTTTTATTTAATTTTTATTAAAAATTCTTATTTAAAAGTATCTATTTAAAGATAATTAATTATAAAAATGTTCTCTTTTTATTATAGTAATTTTAAATAGTCATATTTTTTTTTTACTTTTTTAACAAAATATTTTTTAAATTACTTACAAAAAAGCAAATATTAAAAAATTGGAAAATTTAAACAATGAATTCATTACTTTCAACTTGTAGTGTAGCATTAGGATTAGGTAAGTTAAGGTTAAAATTAAGGTTAATATAAGAAAAGGTTAGTTTATTAATTTAGCTATATTATACATAACATTTTCAGTAAAATCACATTACAGATTATATGATTTACTATGTTTTATGACTTAATTTTACTAGAAACATTCCCATATAATACAATAAAAAAGTTTTAAATTACATAAATAATAATTAATTATATTTGCTGATAAATAAAAGTCACATAAATCATGTTATTATTATGTTATTTTTGATTAAATAATAGCCTTTTTTTTCAATTTTCAATTTTCATGATTATTATAAAAAATATGAATAATGAAGTTAATCCTAATAACATTTATATAAAAGAAGATTTTATATCATATCCTTCTATTGATAAAAATGAAAATACTTATGAAAATAAGAATGATTGGTTAGAATCTATTGAAAATGAAACAGATAAATTTGTGTTGGTAAACTATTTGTATCATATCAAAAGTCATAATATTTCTCAAAGATTTTTGTTTGTAAAGAGGATTTGAATACAGAAAAGGTCAGTCAATACAATATAATATTACAGAAGGTGTTGTAAAAAAAACTTCTTTATGTAAGCATATGAGTATATAGTGAACTCTTAATATAATGAACTTTAAGGTCTAAATCTCAACTTTGTTATAAGTTTATAATGAATTTTTTAAAGAATTTAATTGGCTGATTTACTATAATAAGGTATATTTAATATATTTGATTTAAAAATTTGTTATATCAAGGGTTTGCTATATCAAGGTTTGACTGTAATAAACTAAATAAAACTATACCTCTTAATAAATAACGTAATAGACCTTCATATAAAGTGAATTGCTTATAGTAAGTCAATATCTGTAAAAAAGGTGAAGAAATTTATGTAGTAATAGCATATGGGGTGAGTGCTGGGAAAAAGGACCAAATCGACAAAAAATTTTTTTTTGAAATAACAAATGATCTGAATCAGATAACCAAATCTACATCTATTTTACTTAGGAACTTTTTTTTAAAAAAAAAATCAATTTGGTCCATTTCCCAGCACTCATCCCATTTAACTATAATAGCTAGAGATTATCTTACAATAATAGGTAAATATATATATATATATTAGCTATTAAACATTAACAAATACTTTTATAATAATGCAACAAATATACCAGTAAATCAAGTTTTTCTGGCAGAACTAATCTAATATCGACTAAAAGATACAGTCTTAAAGCTAATACAATTTGTGCTTGTATGTGTTTAAAATCCTGGTAGAAAAAAATGTAAAAAAAAATAATTAGGAATTAATATAAACAAAAAAAAAAGAAAATAAGCAATTATAAAAATAAAATAAATTTTATATATTACGTTTTTTATTTCAAAATTAATATTATCCTTAAAATTCGAGTCAATCCCAGGTTAAACTAAATCGAATAATAATCGGGTCAAATTAAATTCAGGTTCTGTAATTATTAACAGATTTAAGTTCGAATTTGCTTTAAACCCGATCTGACCTGACTCTTATAGAATACTAAATGGTAAATTCATTATCATCAATCATATTTATTTGTGCTGATTATTTATATGTAATACAAATATTTTTGCAAAATCAAAACATTTTTTCTTAAGATGAAAAGTTAGATTTAAAAAATTTTTTTTTAAAAGTTGAGTAAGAATTTTTTTTTAAAAAAAGCCACAAATATTTATATAAATCATATAAATCAAGTAATACAAAAAAACTCCTGATATTAAGCATTATCCAAAGGTTTGATCTGATTTTTCCTTTAAAAATATAGTGCTTAAAATTAGGAGAATACAATATATAATAATTTATTTTTTTATTTTAACATTTTTAAAATTATTTAAAGATAATAATATCCAAATACTGATATATTAAAATTTAAATTGTATATTTTATTAACTTTAATTAAACTTTTTATTAAATTCACAAATTTTTTTTTTTTACAAATACAATTTAATGTAATAGTTTTTTATATAAAGTAATAATTAAATACTTTTAGTAAATTTAAAAATAGATTTACTATTTAAAAATTTAATTAAGTATTATCCTGTAAACTGTAAAGCAGGCAAATTTTATTTGTGAAGTTAAAAAAAAATGGTAATTTCTTTATTAAATATTAATTTTAGTAATATTATTATATAAAAAATATAGTTAAATATATATTTTATTAACTTTATTAACAAAGATTTTAAGTTTTTAATAGGTTTTTAAAATAATCTAATTTTAAAATTAAGTTTCAAACAATTTTTTATAATAATTTTTTAAAAATTCTTTAAAAATTTATATGCTTGTGACTAATTGAATAACTTTATTATTAATTAAAGTCATAAAATTTCTTAATAAATTATAAAATTTTAATAATAAAAGGTTTACTTTATAAGTAATTTTATAATATTCTATTAAGATTAATATAATTAAAAGTAAACCCTAAAAAGTTTTTCATATAAAATTTTTTAATATAAATTTTTTTAAAAAATTACACTTTTAGCTTCTAAGTAATCTTAAACTTTTTAATATATAATTAAAAAATAAAACTTATTATAATTTATTATATATTTATAAAATTAATTTAAAAAAATATTAATTATTTATAAAAGTAAATTAGAAGAGACTTTATAGTAAATAAGCAGGCAAATTTGCCTGCAAAATCCTACGATTTAAGGGATGAAGTTATTATGTAAATATTTAACAAAGAGATGTTATTAAGTGAAAAATTGGTGGTGTTCATTACTAAATTTACTAACTTTTTCGCTTAATTGGAATGTGTGTCATACAGATCGACATGAATTAATTAATAAATGATTTGAATTAGAAAATTTGTGATACGAACAATTTATCTGCGTTGTATAATATATATATATGCATATTAAATATGCATATAAAACTCTCTTCCCTATTTTACAAAACCAAATTTTCACAAGAAAAATAAAAATTTAAAAAGTTCGTTTTTAACAAAAAATTAATTAATAAACCCAGTATAAAGAAGGTTTCTTTTGTTTGACCCCACCTTCTTCACTACGCGAGAAAGTTATGACGCGTAAAGGCGCTGCAAAACAACAAAAAATTAGTGATCCCAAGTTCATTTCATACGTCGCTCCAAAAGCCCTAAAGGAAGCTGTTATTTCTACACCAGCTCCTTCGTCTTCTTCAACCTCAACTTCTGTCTCCACCAACTTAGATTTAGAAATTGTTCAAGAAGTTTTTGGTTCGCTACCAGAAAAAACAATGGATTTTGAATTCTTT